AAGATATCCTCTAGGTATTGGGATGGACACCAGAGGGATCCATGTTTAAGGACTGGGGTAAACATGTGGTCCTATTGTGCGTTACTGGGTGTTTCATGAAATGCAGTTTCTGTGTGGGAAGGCATCCCTGTTTCTTCAGTGTCATTTCCCTGTGATTATATTTAATTTTGCAAGCTGACAGCTTCCCCCTGACTTTCCTACCCGCAGACCCAACAGCTCCCAATGTGGTGGTCACTAGACTCACTCTGGTATGTGACTCTGCTCCAGGACCGATCACTATGGACCTTACAGGTAGGCACAGGCTCTGTCCTTGATCACGAAGGGGAACAAGCAAAGGCCCTGGCATGCTTTAAGTTAAAAGGGAGTTTGTCCTTGGGATGCTACAGTGGGCTTTAGAGGAACTCTGAGGGCATCTTAGCCTTGTTTCTTACTTTGAGGTATCCACATATGAATAAAAAAGAAGGAGGTGTAACAGAGGAAAATATCAAGGGTCTTTTTCTTCATCTAGACTGCTCTAGGAGCTGGGTTTCTCCTCCATCTCTGCTTACTTCCTTTTAATGAGACCTCACAAGCACAAGGGATGTGCATGCATTCGGTAACAGGCTGTTTTGAAACTTCAGAATCAAGCAATACTGCAGTTCCGGCTCCTGAGGACATGGGGAGAGAATCAGGCTTCACCTTATATGGGCTTTTCTGAAGAGAGAGGAAGCTGGGCCCGGAGAGGCAGAGAAGCTTCCTGTTCAACCAAAGCCACACAGAACCCTGCAGAGCCCAGGCAGCCTTCCAAGTTGGGCAGGAGCTGTGAAACACGCTCCACTCACCCGAGACAGGGCTGGGCATAGATGGAGCATGCACACACTCCTGCAGGTGCCCAACAACAAGTGTATGCATAAACATCTTTATGTATGTGTGCCCAGACCTGTGTTAATTTAGGCATTATCTTCACAGATGTGGTCACAGACACATACGTACAGCCAGGCATTTCTGTGTATTTGGTCTCATGGTGCAATTGCTTATACAGACCTCCATGTACTCATTTTGCAGGTGTTGCCAACCTTCAAACAGATGCTGACCTCCAACACCAATCCCAGCCCCATCCTCCCTCCCACGCATGGTCTCTCCTTGCTGTGACAACTCTAATGGCTTGATCCTCTCCTTACAGGTGACATTGAAGCACTCAAGAAAGAGACCTTTATATTAAAGGAAGGAGTGGAATACAGAGTTAAAATCCACTTCAGAGTGAGTTGTTTTCCTTCCTGTTGCTTCTCATCAGTTGCTGAAGCCAGTCAGCAGCAGTCTATCAGATAACTAGTGCCAGGCAGCATGCCTTCCTAATAGCTGGGCCCTTGTAAAGCTTCCCTAGCTTCAGATGTTGTTCTACCCAACAAAGGAACAGCTATTTCCAGGGAATTACTTCTGTTTGCTCACCCCTTGGAGGAAATTGATTTCTGTCCACTCACACTGGTGAACAATAAGTGGTTTGAAAGCCAGATGGGTAGTTTTGGCTGAGTTTGGTTTGGCTTTTTAGCCACCAGAAAACCTTTACTTCACACAAAGTGGACATGGACAGGGAGGAGAAGACAAGAGATAATGGCTTTTCATGAAGTACTGATTCAGTCAGTGTTACTGTTCTTCATGTACACATTAAAAGGATTTTTAATATTGTGACATCTGGCTGAAGATAGCTGAGTTCTTCTGAGTCATGCTATACCCAAAAGGGCTCATTTCTCCCTCTTTCTCATTAACCAGTGTGTCAGCCATTTCTTCTGTTTGCAGCTGAAAACAAAACTTGGCCACGCTGCAGCGTGGCATCCAGCACTGATCTGATCATCTCCACAAATGTTTGCTTCAGACAAAGCTAGGCTTGGCAGAGAAGGCAAAAATGGAAGGAAGGTAGTTCTGAGGCAGACAAGGGAAGGTGTTAATATTTTGGGTTTTGTAGGGCAGATTTCCCTTCTCCTCCGAGGTTTGCTCTCTTAGAGATGAATGTCCCCCGATGCTGTCCCCTGAGACACCTCCACCTCTCTTTTTGCTATGAAATGTTTCCATCTGTATCTGAGCCCTGTTGACAGGAGATATCTGGAGCCAGACAGGTTATTCGAACTCTCTCCCTCAGTCCCATGGCTGGTAAGAGCTGGCATCACATGAATTCTCCCCTGTGATATAAAAGGATCTGTCCATCTTGTTTCCAGCTTAAGTAGTGTACACTGCAAGAAGGCAGTGTATGCTGGAAGGGAACAACAAGGGATACATCCAAGCTATTGATGGGAGATTTGAGGAGCGATTATGAACAAAACTCTGTCCCTGTGTCTCTTGAGGAGAAGCTTGCCAGCTCCCCATGGAGCTTAGAGGACAGCTGGCAGTGCTCAGCCAATTTTGCCCACCCATTTGTATTGGAGGGATGACTAGTTACCCACGTATGATTTTCAATATGAAAATTGTTAACTGGGAACTCCCTGCTTCATTTTTCTTTGTCCTCATCAGCCTGTCTTGAGAACATGACTGATGTGCTCCAGTCAGCTTCAAAGTCAGGCAAAGGATGGAGAAGTGCAGGAGATGCACAGAGGATGCTGTTGGTCTCCAGGTGCCTATGGAAAAGTTGTAGTAGTGCTCTCTGCAATGTGTCCTGTTCTGAGCCTCCCTGCTATAGGGAGTCAAGATGGGTATGTCTCTAACGAGAGGGAAAATCAGCAGATACAGAACTAAAACCCTTCTCCTGACACTTACTTCTGGTCATTTCTTTCAGGTAAACAGGGACATTGTGTCAGGACTGAAATATGTGCAGCATACCTACCGGACAGGGGTGAAGGGTGAGTAAGAGTCCTTCATGCCCTACACACCAGTGCTCCTACCTCTGTGTTCCCTCTGCTCAAAGAAGTGTTCCTGCAGCTCTTGGCTGGGACAGAGGCTCCCTTGGTCCCAAGTCCCTCCCTGCACTGCCATGCAGGAGGCGACTTCTCAGCAGTATGCATAAACCTCTGTTGCCCAGGACAATTGTTTCTTGTCCCACGTGAACTAAGTATGAACCAGCTCTGCTGTCTGTGTGCTAAACTGTCTGCAGCAGCAAAGTCTGCAGAATCTCTGCTTAGACAGTGCTTGCCACAGATTTCTTCTCCATACGAGCTCTTCACCTCCCCTCCACCTCTCCTCCTCCCCCTATAGAGTGGCTCAACCTGTGTGAAGCTTCCCATCCCCTGAAAGCTCTTCAGAAGCACTTGGTAAAATTCAGACCTGCTCTACAAAGCTTCCTGCTGTGTGTAGGGTCCTGTATTTGCTGGTGGGTTCTCCTCTTCATACAGTGCTGGTCTGCTTGGACAAGGCAGAGGAAAGCCCCATTTTGCACACACACATCCCACAGGCATTTCTGCATGCAACCACCCCTAAGGCTTCAGCATCCTGTTCAGCACACATAAGTAAGTGGTGTCTTCTCATCAGGAACGAGAAGTAATAGGGAATCAAGGTAGACCTTGAGCTATATGCTGTGTGTACTCACTCCCTTCTAGCATCATATAGATGTGACAGGGTATAAACTGAGTTGCCTGTTCACCTGCCCGTCCACCCATCTTATCCTTCCAGCTGTCCTTATGCTTCACTAACTCACTGTTTCCACCAATTCTGCTCCCCTTTGCTGACATGGACTGTCCCTTTCTCTCCCATCTTCTCTCTGTGATCTTCACTTATGCTCATGGCTTCTTCTCTCTTTACCATTCCCCATCTGAGGGACTCATCTGCTGTGGATTGTTTTCTCCTAGTGGACAAAGCCACATTCATGGTTGGCAGCTATGGGCCACGGCCAGAAGAATATGAGTTCCTGACACCTATTGAAGAGGCTCCTAAGGGTATGCTGGCTCGAGGCACCTATCACAACAAATCCTTCTTCACGGATGATGACAAACATGACCATCTCACCTGGGAGTGGAACCTGTCCATCAAGAAGGAATGGACAGAATGAGTTCACCCAGTTTGCCTTCCCCCTTCCTGTCCCCTTGCCTCCTGCACCAGTCTCCAGGTGGGCCATGCCCACCATGCTGCTCCTTCCTGCCACCATGGCTGGCCACAGCCTGGCAGCCCTTCACATGAGTGCTGGGGCTCTGTGCCAGCCTTGGTCGATGCACAGCCCTGCAGGCGGCCTTTGCTGCTTCTTCTGATACACTGAAAACAACCCAACCGTTCTCACCACCGCCCCATCATGACACATAATGGGTTAAATTGGGAAGCATCTCCCTCCCTCTCTCCCAATACTTCCTCCTGTTGCCACCTTCCCTCCTGTACCAACTCCGGTCCCGGAAGTGCCTTTTCTAGGAAACAAGATCACCTGGCAGGGCAGACTGGTCCCTGGAAAATCCCTATCTTGAGTTACACTTGCCATTGTGCTCTGACTCATTGTAAATGGTTACTTACCTCTCATGATGGTCTCCTGGTCTGTATCTGGTGCCCTACCCTGTTAAAATCCATCCTTGTGCAGGCAAAACCAGTCAGGGGGAATGCAGCTAGTTGCTGTAATAAGACTTCGGTGTCCCAAGAATAAAACCAGTTTCTTTCTTCTTTTTTGTGTGAGTGTCACTTCTTTTCTAGAGCATGTTTTTCAGTTATATGTATGTGAAGAATGCATTATATGTATTATAGGAAGGCTTAAGAGCATATTTTTCAGCAGGGAAATAGCCCTCCTCCTTCAAAACATCAGCCTTACTCTGTAAGCAAATTATTTCAGAACTGTTTCCTTCAGGGATTTTATGAATCCTTTGAAGCCCAAAGTCTGGGCTGTGATGGGGAGTAGACTTCAGGGTTAGACAGCCTCCACCTCTCATCCCAGATGGCAACTGAATAAGCCAGGGAGCTATAAAATAGCCTTCTCATGTTTAACACCTGCCGTAGCAGCTGTTCCCCAGGGCTAATGCAAGAGCTCCAAGTCCCCGTGGCCGGCCTGCTTGGACACCACTTGGAGAGGGATGTTCTTACCCAGCTGGGGTGCCTGGTCACAAAGGCATGGGGCAGCCGAGATGTCCAATGCTGTGGATGAGGATGTACCAGTGGCAGTGCCAGTGAAGCTCTCCAAGGCTGGTGCCCACACAGCAGGGAGGGGCTTTCTCCAGCCAGGCGGTTATCCCAGGAGCTGAAGGCTTTTCCCTGGGCCAGCTGCTCCTTTCCCACTAACCCCAGGAGTGGCTGTGGGCCCCCGTAGCAGCTGACGTGTCTCTTGCCAAGGAGAGGACGGGAGCGGGTGGCGTGGTGAGGAGAAGGCAAGCTGGTACCATGGGCACGTCTGTCTTCCTGTGTCTCTTTGTTATCCTGCTTACCAGATGCTCCCCATCTGGATGTGCTGGAGATGTTGACTCTGCATCCCACAGTAAGTGAGCTTTCTTCCAGGCTCAGGGAAACACGGGGTCTGCTGCAAGGAGTCTTCCTTATCCAAGGTATACCCAAACATTGTGTTGAGCTTGCAGGAGAGGCGTTCAGGTGAGCTTGTAAGGTTGGGATGCTTGTGTGTATGTTGGGGGAGCCTCTTTGAGCTGCTCTTTGTGTACTCTCTGCCCAACCCAGATCTTTCCTCTCCAGGCACAGCCAGCACCACAGAGAAACCTGTCCTGTTAAACAACATCGCAGATGCTGAAGCCTTTGTCAGTGGTGCAGAGGTGGCAGTCATCGGATTCTTCCAGGTGTGTTCACAGCACCTCCCCTCTGCCAGTTGTGATCTCTACCCCACACTGATGACAATCTGGGGCTGGATGTGGTGTGAACACCTGCCAAAGGCAGCTATTGTCCTGAAAGGTGCTGGAGCTTTGACAGGCATGTGGAGGGATTAGGTTACATGTCACAAAGGGAATACAGGGAATTCGGTCTCTGTGTGGAAAGGGAGATGGAGTAAGGGAGGAAGGTGAAGGAGGTTGTAGGACCCTTGGAGCAGGAGAAAGGGAAATGCTGCAGGGGAAGCAAAGCAAGAATGTGGGTAGCATAGAAACAGTGTTAGTGAGGGGTGAGTGGGAATGTCAGTGTTTTGCTGTAGTCAGCAAAGACGGAGTAAGGCACTGCCTGTGTGATGGGGCTGAGGAAGCTGTCTTGGAGCAGTGCTGGTGAGGGTCCTCTGAAGTCCAAGATGGCTTGGGCTCAGGTATAACCTCCTCCTAGGGAAGGTGTAGGCATGGTCTTTGTCTCACTGCTTGGTTCCCCAGAATATCCTTGAGATCTCTGTCTCTTTTTTTATCTAAATTAAATTGAATTCAAAAGTGAGTGATGGGTACAAGCCCCTTGCCCCCTGAGCATGCATATTTTTCCTCAGGAAATAAGACAAAAATATTTATTGATTTAGAGCACTCTAAAACAGAGGCTTCTTTGACAGGATACTTATTACTTTTAAGGTCCTCAAATTGCACCTTTTTCTGCCTTTTCTTTGAGCTCTGCTCTTCTGCTGCCCACACGCTGCCTCATGTCAGAGAAGACTTCAGGCTTTCAAAAACAACTACTTCTGCAAGCACCTTCCTATTTCTGTCCTGTGCCAGAGGACAGGTCTGGGCTGGAGGGCAGCTAGGGAGGGCATCATGCCCTCGGAATAGCGCACTGACATCTCACATCCCAGCACAGAGTGAGGACTGATGGTGCTGCCCTTGCACTGTAAGCAGCAAGTGTGTGAGTGCTGGAGGCTTATGCCCCAGGGGCCTTAAGCACTGATCACAGAGCACCAGCCTCAAATTCAGTGCCTGCAGGCATTTGGAGCTTCTTGGGGGTTGCTCTTGCAGCTCTAAAGCTGTGCAAAGCAGCGAGGCAATCTACACACATAGAATGAAAGTGCTGAGACGCCTACTTCCCCCAGGGTAGCTGGCTGGGCTTGTGGCAGGGCTGTACCCAGAGCCTCCTCCTGAGCTACAGCAGGGACATGGCTTCTTTTGTCTTGTTCCACAGTGACCTCCCTCCCGCTGCAGGGTTTCATTCTTCAGAGCCAGACAGGAGGCTGCTGCCGTATGGCCCCAGCTGCCAGGAGCACGAGGCTGCAGCCGCCAGCGACGTGTCAGGCATTCAATGCCTGAAGCACGACAGGGCTGCGTTTGAACAGTAGATATGAACAGTAGATAAAGACGTATGTGTACCATGAAGGCTTGGCCCTCTGCCTGAGAGTATATTCATCCAAATAATGTCCGTGTTCTCTGTTTGCCATAAATTATTTCTCTGCTGCAGCCTTTCAATTCACTGCAGTATGCGGCTCGGCAAGCTTCCCGTATAATGAGCATGGCCTCCCTGACTGGGAACAGCATGCCATGGTGGAAAAACAGCACACTGCTCCAGAAACCCTGAGTGTCTGCGAGAAAGGGCCATGCTTGGCCTGATTAAACCCCAGCTTTCCCAGGAATGCTCCAAAACTCTGAGAAATTATTCCCACCCTAGGCTTTAATGCTCTCACCAGAGCAATGTTGATGTTCTGGCATTTCCAAAACAGGTCGCGAGAGATGACTTTCTTTGGAATGAACAAAGAATTTTGTTTTCCATTCACTCTGGGCTCGCAAGCAGCTGAGCTGACAGGTCAAACTAAAAAGAAAAACAAACCAATTTCCAAGCAGAGACCATGTCTTCAGAATTTATATCCGGTAACAGAAATACATCATTAAAAAGTTGGGAAGCGGAATAGCAAGGGAGGCTTTAATATAGGCTAGGGCTGTAGTTAATGCTCTCACTGTAAGAAAGAGAATGGACCTCAAATTGCTGAGAAATTGCACGTTTCCATCCTTTGATACTAGCTGAATTAGCTTGAATTAGCTACTTTTGAAAGGATATATTTAAGATATCTTTTTAAAAGAAAACAGGATACTGATAATGCAAGGTGTTCAAAAAATTGTAAACCCCTGACTCTAGAATCAAGGTTAGCTTAAAAATTGTGGGGGTTATATATTTATTTTACACACACACACACACACACACACATAATTAAATGTGCTACATCCAGATTATGGGTTTGTCCCCTTCCTTTTGAGAGCCCAAGGGCTCTTCACCATCTTGTGTTCGCCGTGAGCGTGGGCAGCGAGGGTTGGGAGGAGTGCAGGGCAGGGTGCACACCCTGCCATAATTAACTGCAGGCCGTAGGCTGGGACGGAAGGGGCGCTCGGCGCCCGCCTGCTGACGGCCCCGGCAGAGCGAGGACGGGGGCCGGGGCCGGGGCGTGTGCGTGACCCCCGCACCCGCGGGCCGCGCAGGACGGCGGGGGCCGCTCCGGGCCGTGGTGCGCGCGGCGGGCGGCAGGTGTCGCTCTCGCACCGCCCCGGGGGCGGGCGGCGGGGTCGGGGAGTGCCCGGGGGGGCTGCGCCCGTCACCGCCCGGCCGTCACCGCCCGGCCCGTCACCGCTCGGCCCGTCACCGCCCGGCCCTTCACCGCCGGCCCGTCACCGCCCGGCCGTCACGCCCGGCCGTCACCGCCGGCCCGTCACCGCCCGGCCCGTCACGCGCCCGGCCCTCACTGCCCGGGCCCGTTTCACCGCCCGGCCCGTCACCGCCCGGCCCTTCACTGCCCTCCCTCTGCCTCCGCAGGAACCGGAGAGCGCCGAAGCGTCCCAGTTTCGCCTGACGGCCGGCCGGATCCCGGAGGTGCCCTTCGGCCTCAGCACCAGCCCCGCCGTCCTGTCCCACTACGGCGTCTCGGCGAACACGGTCACGCTGTTCCGCAGGGTGCGTGGGCACTGCGGCGTGGCGTGGGGCGGGGGGCACACACGACCTCGAGCAGCTCCCGGGGAACACGCTGCCAGGCAAAAAACTGTTTCTCAGCACGAGCACTCTGATTTTGGGGCCCCCTCACGTTGGCATGGGTGAGAGGGGCTCTAGGACAAGCACTTTCAAGGTGCCCGCAGTCACGGCACAGAAGGGAGATCTCTGGGAGGTAGTAGTAAAAAACATTGAAGCTGCTCACCTCTCCTTAGAGCAAGCCAAAAAAAGGCTTGTCGTTGGCAGTCAGGCTGCCTGCCCACCTCAAAGCACATCGGTATAGCTTCCTGCCCCAAAGAGGGCTTTTGCTTTTGGTTTGCAGAGTGCCCGTCACTGAGACATGGAACATTTATCACATCTGATGAGATTTGCCTTTTTAAGTGTTTGCCCTATGGATCTGGTTCAGCACCCAGTGCTCTGCAAAGAGCAATGTCTGTGTTTCTGCATGACCTGCCTGGAGCTCGGCATTAACTTGGATGGGATTTCCGTAGTTTCGGAAAGGGTCCTGAGACACATGAAAAGTGTCGAGAGCCCATGTTACAATGGATCAACACAGCAGGCTTGATATCAAATCTTGCCAAGTGTCACTTCAGGCAGGCAAAGCTGTCTCCTAGCATACAAAACTTTTCCATCATGACTGAAAACAGATCCAGCTGGGTCTCTGCAGTTACAGATGCTCTGCCACCAAAAGAAATCCCAAATGCTCTTTTCTGTCTCCTACACTGTGGTTTGCAGAGTTAGTCCCTAAATAAGCTTTGGTCATGGACCCATTAGAAATGTTACTTTAGAGTTTCTTAGGTATGGAGACTGTGCAAGATCAAATTTTTGTTGACCCCACTGTATGTGCTGGTGCTTCACTTGTAGCTATGTTTGCTGAAATTTAAGGAGATGATACTGGAAATGGCCACGTACTTGCTTCAAGAATACCAAGAAAAGCTAAGAGCAAATGTTCTACTGGTTATATCAATTTCCTTGTGTTGCCCCTTTTCACACAAGCATGGCACTTGAGGAGAGGTAGGTATATCTGAAGAGCAGAGGGGCCCCAGGTAGCACAAGAAATCCTAAGAGCCAGTGAAGTGTTGTGTCACCAGAGCTCTAAGTGCATGGGGTGAGGAGAAATGGGGGCACACTACATGTTCTAGGGAAACTAAATATGCCAGCTTGGCCAAGTTCTAGATCTAGGTTGTACAAAGATTGGACAAAGACAGTTTGTTCTCTGTTCTTTCTCATCATTTCCTGCACTGTGTTTACCACTGACATTATCCAAATAATTTAAAAAGAATGATCTAAGAGTGAGCAATAGGTAGGCAGGTCCTTTTATTTAACCATTTATTTACTGTGTGTAGATGTTGCAATTTCTAAGCAACACCCTTTTCAGTTTTGGTTTTTAGTCATGGTGGTTTTCTTCCAAAAGTACTGAAAACATCCTTTGTTTTTGTGCTGTGGCAGATAGTGAGGATGACTGCATTGGAAGAGTGTTTGATAAAAGAAAGTGTTTGGATTCTTGGAATTTGGATTATATTGAATATTCTTCGTTTGGAATCCAGTTTTTGTGACTGAACTCTTGTTTAATAGAAAAAAAAACAGCCAGGAAAATAATACACTAGTCAGGTTTAAATGTGGTTGACAGTTCACTTGTCTGATTGTCAATTTTTCTTAAATTATCAGACACATTATTTTTCATTTCATATTGTGCTGGATAATGTGTAGGAGTTAGCGGTCAGAGATAAAAAGGAATTTTAAAAGAACGGATACAGGAACTTGGAATCAAATACTCATTTGAACAATACAAAGATGCATGACCAGGATAGAAGTGAATCAGAGGCGTAAATTAATTTTTTCTTTGCTTTTTGCAGAGTATGAAACACTTATAATGCTTAGAAGTTTAAGTCATAATTACAGTAGTAGGAGGGACTGCTGTCAACTGGTGAGACTTCTCTGCATATAGCGTAAGAAAACTGATTTATTCTAGTGAGGAATCTGGCCTGATGGACCTAAAAAGAACATAATTAACAGATGCTAACAGCCTAATTATATGGAGTGATAAAGACATTTTGACTACAGCTTCAACTATTAGATGCAGGCTATTTTCCATCCTTATTTTCTTAAGAACATAAATGTTGGGTGCAGATTCAAGATGTTATTATCCCAAAATGGAAATCAGATGTTTTCAGAAGCCCATGAAAGTCAAGAGAATACTTTCTGTAGAGTCCAGGGTGCTTTAGATTGTTTCCCAAGGCCTGTCTGATGTCACCTGCCCAGGTGTTGCACTGTCCTGATCTTACTTACTTGAGCAGAACTACTGTTTCATGTTATGCAGAAGGAAAATCTGTAAGAGCAATTGGGCCACACAGTTTGAAAAGCACCAGCTTGGGTTGTAATACAGGGCGAGTGATTGATATAAAAGACCTTGCCAGTGACCACAGAGCAGCAAAAATGACTTTAAATGTCTGCACCCCACAGGAAAAACTAACACAAACACTTTCAGACGTTGTACAGATGTGGGGAATAAAATCTGGAGTGTGCATATGGGTCTCTCCTTAGCCCCAAGAACCTCATTCAACATGTGTATCAATGGCCATCAAATCCCAAACTTTGGTCCTATTTCATACCAGGGCCCAGTGTCCCCATGGCTTAACTCAGTCACTTCCTGTGCTGGTGCTGCACAGGAACTCTGCCCCTAAACTCGGACGGTTTAGCTATCATTCGATGGTTGCCTGCTTCTTTTGTGTTTACCAGGTCATGAAAACCTCAATAAAATCACATCATTCTGGGGAAAAGGAGTGTGGGAAGATATGCAGCAGGATGGATTTTCCTCTAAAACTAAGACATGCTGGACTTGATTTTTTTTATTTTTTTTCCTGCTGTGCTGGAAGAAAAATCCTCTTTTTATTGGAGAGATTTCTTACTTGCACAATGTTTCCAGGAATTCCATACAGGTCCATGCCAATGTTTATTACTTGTAGAAGAAACAGAATAAGCAGACAAAGACTTTTTAAAAGGGATGTAAAGCCAAAATCTATGTGAGGAGTTAGGTTATTTAATGATCTCTTTCCACAGTGCCTAGAATACTTTGTCAGCTAATCCTCCCTGTCTCCGGTGCAGCAGAAGCCGATCGTATAGGGAAGGCTGGAGTCCTAAGTGATTTCTGCTATGCCATGAGTTTGCCTTGTACATGGGACACTGAAAAAGGATGGAAGATCTTAAAGTGCAGACTGGCCTCTGTAGGTTCTAGACCTCCAGAAGTGGTGGTGGGGAGAGGTGGGAATTATGTTGTAATGGAGAGAGGATGGCGGTGTCCCAGAAGGTTCGTGTGTCTGTGAGTGAGTACCATCAGTGCCTCTGGAGGGGGTGCTGAGAGGAGAGGACAGCTGTGACTGTAGGTGTCTTTACATGTCTTCAGGCAGACAATGACCGGAGGAATCTGGATATGAACAACGAAGATGTCGATACTGAGAAGATGACTCGTTTCGTTCGGTTGAATGAGCTCCGCCTGGTGACAGAGTACAACCCTGTGGTAATTAGCAGCTCCCTGCAGCCCTCACCCTTGCACTTGGCCTTCTCATGGGTGTCCCTGGGCCCAAGAATTTGCATACCCAGATGTGTGTAAGGGTGGATGGGGTTGAGGGAGCCGTGCAGCTCTTCACTGCTTCTCCATACGTGGCCTGGAAGCAGATGCTTTGCTGGGGTGTGTGGGTGGGGTGGGAAAGGAAGGGAGTCATGGCAGTTCCTTTAGCCTTCCAGTAAATTTGGGATGTTGATGGGCAGAGCGCTCCATTCCTTACCACTCCTGCAGGCAGTGCTGCTTCCTCACATGGACATTTGCCATGTTGTGCCATGCCTGCAGACTCACCTCAACCAGAATCTCCTCTCTTTGGCTTAGAAGCCTTGAGAAACATGGAAACTCAAATGACCCACTCCCAGAAGGCAGGCTTTTTTTCCTCACTCACTGGACAGGGTGTGATGTAAGTCTAGATATTTGACTGCATATTCAAGAGCAGGTTGGGATCTTCCCAAGCAAAATTTTTCACGTCCCCTCCATCCCTTACTCCAGAATTCATCTGTTCAGGAACAACAACAACAACAACAACAACAACAAAACCCCACACCTGCAACACACACACACACACACACACAAAATCAGGCTTAGGATGCTTCCATGTTGGCCATCTTCTCTGGCTCACCCATCTGACTGCCACTGGCAGGGTCACAGTGGTTTCCCCTGCTGTAGAGGGTGATCAAGGATTTAGGCTTCTCTGAAATCTCAGCAGTTCACTGGGCTAACTGCTGTGGAGTCAATAGGTCTTAGAAGCCCCAGTGGCTGCAAGGCTGAGAATTTATCATTGCTGATGGGGTATTTTGTGGCCTTCTGGATAGCTACAACAGTGCTGACCAGGCTCATTTTAATCAAAGGGGAATGGCCCAACCTGTTTCAGAGCTATATCTTTTCAAGTTGATCCCAAGGATCATCTAAGAGAACTGATACAATACGCATTTCAGTCACAGCCCCCAAGTAGGAGAGCTTTTTTCTTTGAAAATGTAAAATTTTTGTTTCCACAATGAAATACTGTTGAAGTTTGTCTTTTTTCTTTAATAAAAAAAACCAAACCAAACCAAAACAAAAAAACACGTCCCAAAGAAGTGGATTTGCTTTCTCATCTTCATAAGCGATGTGAAAAATGCATTTTAAAATAACAGAATGTTTCTGGGGACTGCTATATCCTGCCCCACTCTCCTCAAAGCCCTTTGAGAGCACCCAGGTCATGTTGGCGGGGATGTTCTTGTTAGCTCTATAATTGCCCAGACCTTCTTAACCTTTGGAACTCCCATTGCATCCGTTTGCAATTCATTAGATCATAAGTCTTTGTTCATGTGTTTCTGCTGATGCTTTGGGTTCTCACTGCATGGTGTCCTGTTTGGCACCCAGGCTGTGTCCCTGACCGAGAAGTCATGAGCTGTTCAGCTGGTCCCCTCCACCCTGACTGTCAGTGCACAAGTTGTTAGGTTTTTCTCCAGACACTCTGGAGTGCTATCAAGGTGCTGCAATTAACAGTGCCTCCTGCAGTCTCTGGCCCAAAGCCCTCCTAGCTCCCCTAAGGTAGCCTGGGTTTTTGTAAATATTTTTTCCCGGTGCATATGCTGTTTGCATCCAAGAATGCTGCTGGTCAGCAGAGGATGGGGTCACATGGATTGCACCGAGTGCTGCCAAGAGTTTCACTCCCCATTCTGGGGCCCTTACTGTTTCTCTTCCATACTTAAGGCATTATTAGGCAATGCTTACCCTGTGGGCTTACCAGGAGAGTCAGATATGACCTGACCATGTTGATGAGCTCTGCTAATTGCTCTTGCACAAAGTTGTGTGGACAAGCACACCTTTGTGTGGAGCTGCTGGAGGACCTGCTGCTCCAGCCCTGTCCACTGTCAGCCCAGCCTTGTCATGGCCCTTGGTGCTGGCTGACTTCACCCTCACCTTCCCCCTCGTCCTCTCCCATGAGGTTCCCTAATGTTCTCCAGCCTTAGTTTGTATCCCTTTTACTCTCCCCTGCCTCAGCTGTGCACCAGCAGAGGAGTGAAGGAATACAAAATGTCTGATAAACATTAGGCTAGCAGCAGAGTCTCGTCTGCCAAAAACTAGATGCTCTGTAGTGCACTGCCTTTGCCAGCATGCACTCCCTGACCCCTTCCTTGTTACTCCTGGAGCCTGTGGAAACTTTCTGCTCCTGTTGGCCAGGAGCTGTACAGTCTGTGCCTCTGTGGTTTCGGTGGCACGGGGGAGGCAGCAGGTCTGGCCCCGTTAGTGTTTAATTTGAGGGAGAGGCTGCAGGGCTGCAGGAAGCAGACGGAAGGAGAAGTGAGATGACGAGTGAGTGAGTTCATCGAGATGGTGCGGTGGCTTCTTGGGCAGTGCCAGCCCGGTCTCCTCACAGAGGGCCAGTGTGTATTGATTGCCTGCTTGGCCCTTGCCTGGAGCGAGAGACAGCTGGCTCCAGGTCTTCTCACTGTGGGACTGCCAAGGCAATTTTAACCCTCAGCACTCTGGAGTGCCCAGGCCCTGGGGTTGCTGAAACTCTGGACTCATTCTCATCCTATGCACAGCCTAACACTAAAGAAAAGAAGTAAGGGGAGACACCAACCTTGACACAACAAATCCTTCCCACTTTCTTGCTTCCGTTTCAGCTGGATGCTGGACCTCAGTGATTTAGAACACCCTTATATTCACTGTTTGCTGGCCTTTACTCTCCACATCCTTGCTCTAGTCTTTAGCTTGCTTTATATAGGCAGTTCCCCTACCTAATCACTAACTATCTTGAGGACAGTAGTGAACCCTTGTGGTCTTCAGATACTCATTTTAGGAATAAGCAAAATCAGGGGATTAAGTGCTTCCACAAAGAACCCAGATTGGAACCCTCCTGCTTTGAAGAAACCTGTCCTGCTTGTGATGTTGATTTGCAAAGAAACCTCAACCAAGTCAGGAGGACTGATGTCCCTCTGACACTGCATCCAATACAAATTGAATGTTCTCAACCTCCTTGTCTGTGTGTGTTTTTCTCTCTGTGATGGGCAGACAGCAGTAGGTGTGATGCAGAGTTCGCTCCAGTTTAACCTCCTCCTGATCACAGACAAGATGTCCCCAAAGCACCCTGAGCGAATGCGCAAGTTTCGGGCAGCAGCAGAGCTCTTCAAGGGAAAGGTGAGTCCAAACAGAGACAAAGAGAAGGGAGAAAAAAAATACAATAATTTCTGCCATGAATGGGGAGGGCATAATCTCCTCTGTGCATTATGAGAGCAAAGATCAAGTAGCAGGAAAAGAAGATTATTTGGGTAATTAAGTGGAGGAGTTGGTTCTGTTCACCGTTTGCCAGTTTGTCTCCTTGCGGGGAAAATATCCTCTCTATCCTGCTCCTCTTCTCTCTTGGTGGAACATTGTGTATTTCATTGCTTCTGGTCCAGTTTTGTTCCCTTGTACTAGTTGATGACAAACAGCTGCTCTACTTCAGTCTGGTGATGGTTGCATTCCACTGATGTGAGAGGTTAATTTGTATATACAGCACACAAGATGCCAAGGAGCCTTATATAAGTGACCAGATAACAAATAACGTCAGTGTTTCTTAACCCTTAGACTTCTGGTAGGATCCTGGGGAAATGGCTATTTTAAAGGAGTTGGAAGTGGGTTTCTTGAATTTTGCACACAAAGGCGATGAGATAGATGGGATGTTTGAGAGAAATTTTGCCTAGTTCCCATCCCTTGTGTACAGAGCTCCCCGAATAGTAAATCAACCCATGGCTGATTCTCTGCCAAGCAGCTGGATTATGGAGGAATTTGTGTCTGAGGAACAGAGGAATAAACTGGCAAGCAAAGGAGAATTCGGAGCAACAGGAAGGCATTTGGGGAAGATGAGAGTGGGCAGAAGATCACAGCAGTGGGGACAACTGAGCTGAGAGGCAGGCGGAGATCTTCCTCTGAGAAGTGTGGAGCTGGAAAGAGTTGGGGTTTGATAACTAGAACATCTGCATGCCTCTTTTTTTGGCACTAAATGGGCAGATTAGAAATCAAGTATATCCTCACCTTCAAATTCTGGGGCCATCTCAGGACCATGCACCCCCAAAAGTCTTGAGACATGTTTATGGCAGGACTACTTCAGACCTTGCCATCTTCCCTACCCATTGGCAAGAGACTAGGGAGAAACTAGGCATCAAAGTCAAAAGGTCCCTTTAGAAGGGTTTTGCTTTGGTGAGTATGTAGTGATAAAAAACCCCTCATTTATCTGAAAAATTCTATTAATCTCATGTGAGATTTGTGTTATATTAATACTATTGTCACTGTCCTTCATGAGCAGCAGTCTGACACAGGTCTCCCCCAAGCAGCTAAGTCTTCTAACAAATTGCTGTTTAGCACTGCTATCCTTTGCTGATGCAGCTGCATCTAGTTTTCATGTGATACACCTAGATCTGAGAAAAGGGGAATAATTTTCCTAGAAATACTTCACAAAACATTGGATAAAATGTTGTACTGAAGTCCAGATAGTTTATAAATTTTCAGCAAGCCAAATCTAACTTTTTTTTATTCGTACAGGCAAGTTTCCCACCAAATCAGTCTAGAAGTTTGCCAGAGTAAAACATAAAAGAATAAAGATGTGGGAATTTGACTAATTATTTCTGCTTTACTGCAGTGTTACTGCAGGACACAGAGATGAAAATAAGTTGTTTTTCCCGGAGGAATGGCACTTTGAGGAGTAAACCGTGTTTTGAATTGCCCTCTTAGAAAACAGCAAGAGAGCTCTGCTTGGCTTTTAGATCTGGACAGCAAGGAGTAAGCAGGGTCATATACCCATTTAGGTTTGTCTCCATTGTTCTGTTATTTAGAAAGACATGAATTAGTTGGTGTATCAGAAGCAACCACTGCATAATACCATGATAATCTCTGCTAGCTAATTTTCCTAAATGGAGTTGTCTGTTGTCAGGACTACCAACTTAACTGAGGTTTACTTCAAAACAAGTAAAGAATTGAGTAAAGTTTGCCTTTTTGTGGCTTGCAGATTGTCTGAGAATTAATGCAAGATTATTGACTTGAATTTTATTAGAGATTACCAGTGAATGATTCATATCCTGTGGGATAGTGGTGGAAGGCTTGCTTGTGCTGCAGGATTAGTGCTGTCAGTAGTTTGAGCAAGGAATCATTGCTGTGGAGTGGTGTTCAGGCTGCCTGTGAGCATGTACCACTGTACAGTGCTTTACAGCCAGAGTGCCAGAATGGAGTGGGAATGCTTGGTGTGTGTTGCAATTTCTGTACAGGCCAATGCAAAACACAAACAGAGCCTCGAGAGGGTTCCCAAGCAGGAGAAGGGGTACCTATCCCATCACACATCTCTGTTGCCATCTGATGGAAGAATACTCTTTGTCATTATTATTGCTAGTGGGAGGGAAAAGAGAAACTTGTTGCTTGGATTGATGGAGAGGTGAAGAGGAACTACTGCTGCTGCTGAGTGGCTGACTCCAAATAGTGAAGAAAATCAGGGAATCATGGAATCATTTTGGTTGGAAAAGACTCTTAAGATCATCAAGTCCAACCAATAATGGATCATGAAGAAGTGATTCACCTGCCAGTTCCTGGATTATGGTCCTCCTTTCATCTCTGGTTTATGATCTTCTCATTCTTGCCTGAGAGGAAGCTGAGATTTTCATCTGGAGGATCCATGAAGCTGTATGGTGAGGACTGTTACTTGAAAACAGCCTGAACTGCACCCTGAGCAGCAGTGAGGGCCTGAAGGCAGTCTAGATTCCTCCAGATTTTATTGTGGAACCTGGGTGCTGTAAAATGCTGGAGAGGAAAAAGCAAATGGTAGATGATGCTAAGCCAGCATAAGCTGACAACAATAAGAAGAAATATGGTAGTTTTCTAGCAGACTTTGAGAACCAATTGTGGGTGGAAACAGTGAACAGAGTTCAAGAGCACTGCAGCTGCAGGAGTGAATCCACCAGCCTTCTTGGACGGATCCCACTGCAATTAAATACGTGCTTATTTAAGAAAGTACTGCCAAGAGTCCAGGTTTTCTACTGGAAAGAAAATGTCAGGGTTTGCATTGCTGGGCCAAACTAGCATAATAATTTTCAGTTTTTTTGCTACAGGATCAGAGTATAGCATGATAATTACAGCTGGTGTATCTCATGGGTATTGGCAGAAGTTTCAATAGTGTGATGTTGGGAATAACAAAAGCAGCTTTTGCTGCAACTGATGCAATTGGTTTCCAATGTGAAAATGTTTTGGGTAGAGATGTTTGCAAACTCTCTTTTAATTTGTATGTAGGTCCATTTAGAAATGGGTTCTGAGAAACTTCTGAGTGTCCTTCAGGACTTCTTCCATTGAAATGAAAAGATGATGCCTTTTCTCTTGCAGACAGTCATCCATACACTTTTTATTTTTCTTATCAGACATTGCTGGCTCCAGAACTGAGAGAGATAATATTTAGAGATGCCTCTTTTAGCAATAAACAGAGGAGCCTGTAAATATGGATTTTCTATGTCACTTAAGATATCTACAGTAAAGTTGTTTCTACACTTTTTTTTTTATTCAAGACTGATGTTTTAGTTTTACTTTGATGCAGTTTGTAAGCTATGTAAGACATTATTCAAACTTCAGAATTTGATCTTTTTGCTTATACAGTCTTCTCCAAGAATGAAGACTGCGGTTCTCTGAAGTTCAAAGTCAAACACTGGATACGAGGCTTGATCATCCTTCCTGTTTATCTTTGTTAGAAAAAACTAAGCAATGTTAGATTGGTTATTACCATTGCAGTGCTATTTTCAATTAACTTTAATTCCTTGGGCAATAACATCATTCCATATCTTAGTATTTACTAGGAACTCGATGTTCTAAAAGCGCTGGGCTAGGAATCAAGTTGTCAACACACCAAAACAGTATCAGTGTACAAATTTTCTGAAAGAGAGCTTATCGCAGGTGACAGTGCAAAGATAATATCATGTGTGGAGTAGAGAGTTTGTGTCAGGAGTTTGTCATCCATGAAGGATATCCATCACTGCCTGTAGCAGCAGATCTCTGAAATAAGGCAAGAAGTTTGCAACAAAATGAAACAATTTCATGGAAATAATTTCAGAATGAAAAAAAACTCAACCAATTATTATACAGGAGAGTATGAAATGGAAAGTGAACTTTCTGTTTGGGATGGAACTAACTGGTTTCTAGCAATGATAAAAGAGTTGCCATTATAAGTGGTATTTTTGTTTTGATGAATTATAGCTTTGGTGAGTCGTCTGAGCAAAGGTTTTAGGCTCTTTTCAGCACTGATTGAGAAGGACAGCCATATCTTCCCTTCCAAAATAGGTGGAATAAAGTGCTTGTCACTGTTTATTGTAGAGGTTACCTAAATGGCTGACTGAGACAAGGCTAGGATCTGGATGGCAGAGGTTGGGCAATATGAATCTTGCCTCATGGTCATTATAATTTTCCATGATCACTGCATTTATTCTTTATGAATAGAGCTGGATGAGAATCTCGGAATAAAATAAATTCCTCAGTTTGTGTGTTTCCATTTGCTTCTGTAAGGAAGAAGGTATTTGAAATTCTAAACCCCAACATTTTTATTCTTTTATTCTTACTCTATTTTTTGTATTCATGGATAAAATATGTACAGCTTTTTAGTTTTTGGGGTCTTTAACAAAGACTGGAAGCTTGATAAAGTGAAGAATATTGACTAACATTTATTTATATTGCCATTTTAAAATGTTATTCATCTGTTTTAAAGGTGAAGGAGGTTTTGTATAGAAAATGACACCATTTATGAACCTAGGTATTCTAAATGCCTTTTTTTAATAACCTCTTGTTTAACATTTGATTGAAAAGATACAGTTGTCTGGTGAATCTTTCATAGAGAAACCCAAAAGTCTGTGAATGAACTGCTGAAAATGTGGTACCATTTCCTGTAACAACCCCCTGAAAATGCTTCCTCTCCAGCAATGGCTTCTGTTTCCAGCTTGCTGGTTGGAAGGAGAGCTCTAAAACATTAAGTATTGCTGTTCCATCTGAAAGCCACTTAGCTCAGGTCTTTAGACCTGTGAACCTCAAATTTTTGACCATTCTTTAGCTTGGTGTTTTATCTTGCAAAAAAGATGAATTAAAACTCTGAGAGAAGTTTCCCACAACCTGTCTGTTCACTAACTTGTTTCCCTTGGGGCGCAGTTGGCTTTTGAAAGAGAAATTGCAAGTGGTAAATATCACATATCCAATGGAAGTACTGTTCCTGTTTCTGTATCTCTCTGTATAACTGCAGTTAAACCATACAGCATCCTAACTATCCTTCCTTTCCATAGGCTGTTCCCTAGGAAAGTTTCCAGATTTGTTTTGTTTTTTTTATAGAACATAAATTTAATAAAATAAAGAACTGGAGGTTTACCAAGTTTATTTTTAGAGAAGAAAACAAGTTTTGAACTAGCTTGAGTGTTCTTCATTGAAATGATAGAAAAACATGAGTCACAGCCTGGGAATTAGGCACATCATCTTCACATTACAATTCTTTTCTTTTATTAAACTCTTCTTTTTTCTTGTGTCAATTAAGTCATAGCTTTGTCCAAAAGTACATTGAATATGCTAGCCAAATAGACTGCACAGGATAAAAAGGAGATAAAATGACACATGCTAGCTGGGTGTTTATTTCATTGACTTGGATCTCAACTGCTGAGGGATGCTATTTAATCAGGTCACTGATTAAATTGTTTCATTGATATATTTTTTTTAATAAAATTTATACATAATTTTTGTATTTAGCATTAATAGATAATTCAGCAAAGATTTTTGAGATAGCTGTATATTTTATTGGTAATATTTCAGATTCTAGAATTTTAAGTTTGTGCTAATTCCTACTACACCTCTACAATCTAGGCTGAAACTTAGCTTTTAAACTGAAATCATGGAGTTGGTCACCAATTATGATATATTTTTACTATTGAATCATCTCAGAATAATCCTAATCCTTGGCTTGATCTTGTTCTCCAAGAATATCTGGGAGCACAGAAGACTGTAGGTCATTCTCATCCTGACTTATTCATTACTGGGCTTCTCTCCCCAGGTCTGAACAACCCTTCACTGAGTTGGGCTGTACGGAAGTTGGTGTCTTGCCAGCAACTTCTGTTTCCCAAATGATTGCATCTTCATTTATGTTCACTGCAGCTAACTTAAATACATTTTTTGTGTTTGGTGGTTTCATCTTCTTATCCTTGTTGTCCTGTACTTCACTCCCAGGTTCTTGCAATTGAGTTTGATTCTTCACACACCAAAACATTTTCTGCCGCTCTTGGTCTTGCATGTATGTGAGCATCTTATGCAAATAACGTGCAAGTAGAAGAGTCAACTTCTTTGACATGTGCTGCTAAGATAGGACATCTTGTTTCCTTATCTATTAAGAGAATAGAAGTGGAGACTGCCTTCCTGTCATACTGCAGATATATTTTTAAAGAAGGTGAAAGAAGACATTTTGGTTGGTAGTGTAAGTCTGGACTTAATACAGAAAAACGCACTGCATGGAGCTGCTAAATTGTGGCAGAGGAAAGTGTTGTTCTAACAGAGATAGTTTTCTCAAACTTTTTATAAAAAAAATCACTGTTAATCTTCATATGATTGCTGTTTGGGGATCTGCTCTCTCTCTCATCTTCTGTTTTTCTCACATTTCCTTTCCTGTTTCCATCACAGATTCTCTTTATCCTGTTAGACAGCAATTTGAAGAGCAATGAACCAGTAGTGTCATACTTCCAGCTGAAGAAGTCCCAGCTGCCAGCTCTGGCTATATTCCACACACCAGATGATGAGCATGATGTGATGACTGTGGATGAAATCTCCATTGAGCATGTGAAGGACTTCTGTAATCGTTTCATACAAAGAATGAAGAAGGTGGGTCCTGTATGGGAAACCGGGATCTTGTAGGATAATGCTGTTGTTCACAAGGCTCTTGAAGAAGATGACTTCGGTTTCTTGAACTCCTTCCCATCCCTGCCACCTTCTCTTCCACATACATTTGCACCTGAATATGAGTAAAGCATTTGATCTAGGGCAGAACAGAGATGGATATCTTTGCAGAGCCTCTTTCTTCATCTACAACAAGAAGATTTCACTGACCTCTGAAGGTCTCTGTGAAGCATCTATCATATAGGAACAGCAGCTGGGGAGACAAAGTGAAGGGTGCCTTTGAATGCTGAGAATGGGATGGTGAATGGCCGCATATGAGAGTGGGTGAGAGAAAAATGGCGTGGATAGGAGTGAAATCTATCGGGAAGGCTACAGAACAGAGTATACAGATGGGGGCTTAGGACTCTAGTAGAGGTCTCTGCTGGGAGAGGGGCAATTTAATCTCCATGTTCATTCAGTGTTAAGAGTTTTCTCTGTTAAAATTCATCTTCCTATAGCACAGAGGTTTTGTGTTGTAAAGTGGAAATGAGATAGGCAGGGCAGTGGCATAGACAGCAGAGGGAGGCATTTGAGTTATTTTTCTTTTATCACTATACTGAGAAACCAAGTAACATCAAAACTGATTTCATGCCTCTAATGTGTTTTAGAAAGAAGATGAATCTGAGAAGCCCCTCAATGAGGAACTCTGATTCTTTCTCAGCCAACAGGATGACTGTGCCCAGAATCATCTTATTCTGGTGTATTAAGAGTTCACTTCACCCTGCAGCTCGACAATTTCTGAACCAAGTTGGTCATGTATTCCCATCACCATTCTATGTATATATGTGCTGTCTATCCTCTCCAGAAATCTCTTATCTCTTCTCATTTGTTGGTTCCAGTTCACTTCTTTTCAGTACTCCAGCACCTTTGGTATTGCCTTACGATGTGTCCTTCCATGCCACTCTGTTGGAGCAAAGAGTGGCGTAGCAAAATGGCAATATCAGAGGTAAAGCTAGTAGTTCCCAGGGATCTGTTTCCCTCATTCTCTTGGCTTTTGGTGATATGCTGAGATCCACTGTCAGCCTTTCCTGACACTACAAATGGATTGGTTGCATGATGTCACATGAACTTTTCCATTTATTTTACTAAATAAAGCAGAAAGTGAATAGCCTGAATTTTTACTCAAATATGTTGTTTCTCACTCCTCTTGTCTTTCACTTGAGAATGAAGTCTCTATATTTCTGAGTAAGCTTAAAAAATCTACTTTCTCTGAGTTTAACTTAGGCTTAGCAACCAACCAGGTTGGTTGCTAAAAATCATTCCCCATGGAACTAGACCCATCATCAACAGATATTTCCACCTGGATGAGAGATTTCTAGGAAGGTTTGGAGTCAGAACAGCACTGGGTACAGCAGCTCTGAGATGGGGTAGCAGAAATGAATGAGCCTAAGATGTTGCAGAAGGGCAGTAGAAAGTTGCCTTGCAAGACAGGGGATATTCCACACTACATTGGAGGGAAAGGCTAATGTCTGTGTATTGACCTCAGACATTCCTCAGGGGTCACAGTACTGGTATACAGGAAATGGGGACTTTGCAGGCAAGGTATATGAGCCATCTTTGTTCTGCTGTACTAGATGCATGCAGTAGGCTTGACTCATACTTGGCTCAGCATCCTTTGGCATGAAGTATGGATGCTCCTCTCAAATAGTGACTGCAATGTCTCTCAAGGCTTGAGAGACTAGGCCTTGGACAGGGAGCCTAAGAGGGGTAGAGCTGAGAAACCTTTCTCAGAGATTAGGCCAATGCAAAGAACTGATAACAGAAAGAAGTTGTTCTTGCTTATGAAGGAAACACAGCTCCCCAAGGCAGAGGAAGAAGTCAGGAGTTGGAAGGGATGCAAAGTAACTGCCCAATACCATGATTGCCACAGCAGGGAGGCAAGTGCTGTGTTACCTCTTGTCTCTTCCACTTGGATCATTCATTTAGCGAGAACTCGTCTCCCACACAGCTGGATTTATGTATATAGTGCATTCAAGAATCCCCATGTCAGTGGTGTATGATGATGTGGAGGGTTGACCTTGGCTGGACACCAGGTGCCCACCCAGCCTCTCTATCACTCCCCTTCCCAGAGGGACAGGGGAGAGAGTAAGGTGGAAAAAAGGAAACAACTCGTGGGTTGAGATAAGACAGTTTACTTAAAGCAAAAAGCAAAGTGAAGCTTGCGCGTGCAGAAGCGAAAGATAGCAGGGTTTATTCTCTGCTTCCCATGAGCAGCAGTGGTCGGCCACTCCCGAGAAGCAGGGCTTCAGTACGTGTGAGAGTTTCTCAGTAGGTAGCCATTAGACAATGAATGCCCACCCTCCTACTCTGTGCTTTAGCTTTTATATCTGAGCTGACGTCATATGGTATGGAACATCCCTTTGGTCAGTTTGGGTCAGCTGGCCTACTTGGGTCCCCTCCTGGGATCTTGTCCTCAGCTGAGGAAGGAATGTTACAGTGTTGGTGCTGTGCTCAGCAGTAGCCAAAACACCCTTCTAGCTGCCAATGCAGAGCACAGCACTGAGGGCTACTGTGGGGAAATGAACTACAGCTCAACCAGACCCAATACAGATGATTTTGAATTCCTGGTTTTATACTAGTCCTAGAACGTGCAGGGCTGTATCTCCTGCCAAGAATCCTGCTTGCTTTCCCTCAGTTGGAAAACTGCTGCTTTTTATGGCTATAGCTTGTTCCTCCCTGGGAAGGGTTATATTCCTTCCTCTGCAGTATGGTAAAGAGGGAAGATCTGCTGCAGAGACATCTATGAGGAGTCCTGGCATTGTAGATGTTTCCAGTGTCATGCATGTCTGTGGTCCAGACCAAACAGTGTGGGGGGACTGGCCTGCTGCACAGGTGTCTGAGGTACATGTCTTGGCCCTGTGTGAACACAACAGCTGCAAGAATTGGGCACAGCGACGTGACTCTTCCTCAGTGCTGGAGGGAAAAAAAACAGGACATGAATGAAGCTCTGGTTCTGCAAACAAGCCTGGGAGTAAGAGCAGTGTCCCCAGTGACTGTGTTCGCTGTGTACACAGCTAATTATAGGGATAGCTTTTCAGGAGCTTCATTATGTACACTGGGGAGTTTAATTCCCTCTGCACTTTGCAGAGCTCTGCACCGAACTGACAATCTTAGGAGCCACAAGGACACCAGAGGAAAGGCCTCCTCCTCCTCCTCCTCCTCCAGCTGTTCTGTGGGACTTGCACAGCATGGACAGTCCTAGAGTGCTGGGCACAGATGTAGTGGCAGTGGTGTCACCTTAATCCCTGTGCTCGAAGGCTTCTGCAATGCAACTTTGGTGGGCTTAACCGCTGCAGTGGGCCATTTGAGGGAGAAACCAGATGCACAGTGATGTGGATGGGGCAATCTCTTGTTTGTTGTTTCATTTTTTGTTGGTTTTTTTTTTGTCCAGTCGTGTTATCTCTGACCTGAATTTGTGGTGTACGTGGCCCAGATGTTTCGAGCTGTCTAGGGAGACTGGTTTGGTTTTCAGTGGGAGGAAGTGCTAGATGCAAACTGACAGAGGGCAGGATGAGGGGGTTCCCTTTGCCCTCAGTATTTTGGAGATACTGTGATGTGAGAACCTCTGCTCTGCAGCAGCACCTGCACTCAAAGGACATTCAAAATACCTAAGAAAACAGCTGAGTCTGCCTAAGAGCAAAGTGAGGCTGCAGAGGCGTATGAGAGCTGCTGTCTTTACTCCAGGGAACAGGGAATTGGGTTGCACTGTGGATGATGCAACTTTGCATTCATCTTTGGTGAGAAACAATTTGAACGCCTCCAGAAGCAGAATATTACAAAGACTTGGAGGTTCAGCAAGTGGACAAACATTTTTGTGGTTTATTCCCCTGAACTGTTGTGTGGGGCATAAAATAAGTAAATGTTGCTTAGAGGTGAGGGCTGGGTCCCAGGGGTGCTCCCCACCTATACTCCCCAGGCAGAAACCAGCTACCAGGTCCTAGTGGTACCATTCAGCTCTCTTGGGTACTTCTCTTTGGCATTTGCAAATGCCCTTGAGATGCAGATGTTTAAGTTACAGCCCTCTCCTCAGCATTTCCTACTGGTTGGTGGGCTGTTTCCCTGTGAAGTATTCATATTTCATCAGCACCTCTTCTGGATATACACATCCCTCAGGAGTCTGCTGGGTCATGTATGTCAGCAGGCAGCAAGGGACCTGAGGGATGAGTTGGTGCTGAGAGTTGCTGCTCTTCTGTCCCGAAGTCCACAAGGCAAGGCTCAGCTCTCTGTTGCTTTATTCCTCTCTTTTCCAGCAGCTGATGCAGTGCCAACTTCATGTAAATCATACTCATCATCAGCTTGAGCAAGGCTATTTGGGGAAGAGGGCCTTTAACAGGATACATGTGGTGCATCAACTGTTTGCTGCAATCTCTCACTCCTGTGCTTCAGCAGAGAATTTTCCTTCCTTTTGTGTAGTATAGGCCCAAACCAAAGTCTGAACAATGCTGAATGTAGGGGATTTAAACCTCTGAACTATCCCCCATCTGCTGCAGGTTGAAGGAAGACTTTCAATATGAACATGTCTGCCCTCAGCTCCAGTTTCACTTCACGCAGAGTTCTGGATATGGCTGTGAGTGTCTACTGAGCTGTGAGGAATCTGACAGGAGAAGGACCAGAACAACCTTTGCACCTACACTGAAGAAGAGGAGTGGGCACTGGTTCCTGTACGTGAGTCTATCTGGTTAGCATTGCTCCTGCTCTTGAAAGTGGCCGGGAGATGCTCAGAGCCCTCTCACTGCCAGCATGAAAGGAAGAGACATCTCACAGGGCATGCATCCCTCCTCCCTTATGCATGCAGAAAACAGTCACCAGCACAAGGCAGGAATAAACCTTCTTCCTTTCTTCTAGGGACTCTGCTAGGCATCAGGACTCTGCCAATTTTGAATAAACAATTTTAAAATCTCTCCTCTATTTACTGGAATACCTGTCATAGGATGAGCTTTATGGTGCTTAAGTCAGATCCCATCTCATGCACATAACTCCAGCACTGAGTTGGGCCTGAGTTCCCAGGAGTGGGAGGAGATAGTGATGATTTAGTGCAAGATATGGTAGGAACCATTGTCCTTCCTAAAATAAAAGGAGGAAGTGCATGACTGTCTGACACCTCTGTTTACAAAATCACAGAATTGGTAAGATCGGAAGGGACCACAATGGATCTGGTCCAACCTCCCTGCTCAGGCCGGGTCATCCTAGAGCACATGGCACAGGATTGCATCCAGACAGTTCTTGAATATCTCCAGTGAGGGAGACTCCACAACCTCTCTGGGCAATCTGTTTGAGTGTGTGGTCACCTGCACAGTAAAGAAGTTCTTCCTTATACTCAGGTATAAGGAACTTCCTGCATACCAGCTTCTGCCCATTGCCTCTTGTCCTATTGCTTGGCACCACCGAGAAGAGCCTGGCCACATTCTCTTGACACCCTCCCTTCAGATACTTACAGATATTGATAAGGTCCCCGCTCAGTCATCTCTTTTCAAGGCTGAACAGGTCCAGCTCCCTCAACCTTTCCTCATAAGAGAGATGCTCCAGTCCCTTAATCATCTCTGTTGCCCTCTGCTGGACCTGTTCCAGGAGCTCCATTTCTCTCTTGTACTGAGGAGCCCAGAAGGAGTTTGTCTGGAAGGAAGCTGAACCAATAAATCTGGGCAGCAATATTAGAAACAAATCCTCTCTTGCGGGTGGACAGATCACAGGGCTTAGTCATGCTGCACCTTGGCACAGGATGGGTTCCCCTCAGTACCACTAATGGCAGCCCATGGGCTGGCAAAGACGTGGGGACAGTTGACACAGGAGGAGGAAATATTGTCTGAAGGATTCAACTGGGGAAGTGGTTTGCAGGACCGTGAAAGAGGAGGGCAAGGAAGAGCCAGAGGCTGATCTGGGAGAAGGAAAGGACTTGCCCAAGGGGGAATGTGGCCAGCAACAGGTAAGGGTCAGTGAGGGAAGGTGCTGGATTGGTACCACAGAGAACTGACAGTGATGAGAACACATAAGTGTTTTTTCTAGGGCTGTGAATCAAATACCTGTTTGACCCATTTTGGCTCAGTCACAAAGGAAACTTCAGAGGAACATTCTCAGTGGAAAAACCTGCAAAACCACAAGATGCACATTGAAT